TCTGTTCTCTAATGGTGGATGGAAAAATTTAAATGATGTGGAAAGTGCTGCTTATTATAGTAGAAAACACTCTATTAAAGATATATATCTTAATAAGAATATTAATAATAAATTACGTACTGCTACACTTGTACTTAGTTGTTCGTATGTTAATGATCTGAAAACATTTTATTATATATTAGAATATTTTTGTAATCATTGTGAAGAGCTATACTATCAAAAAGATCTCGTAAACTTAGGTCATGATTGCACTAAAAAGTTATTGAAAGTAATAAATAAAATAAATTCATTAATTAAAATAATGCAAGAAACTATACAAGCTTTAGACACAATGCACTTTTTTCCACGGGGAGAAAAAAAATATGACTTATTTTTCAATCGTATGTTTTCTTATTTTCAAAAGAAACATAATGATATAAAAGAACATTTCATGTCGTTGGAATCTTTAAAAACTATTTTTATCATAAATCAGCGTTTAATTGATGAAGGAAATGGACACTGTAACTATATTTCATATAATTTAGACAAGATGTGGCTAGAATGGAATAAAAAATATAAAACTTTAACTAAAGGAAGCAATAAATTTCATTTTTTTGATTATTTAAGTAAAAAGTTATATAATAAAATTAACCAAATAATGGTTGACAAATTTATTAATCTTGGTTTCAAATTCGATTCATCGGCCCAAAAGATTGCAGTACCAATACCAAAACAATTAAATTCTGGTATGGATTTTTTGAAAAAATTAGTCTTTTTAACTGACTAGAGGGTTTATTTTAAATTTGACATATTTTCCAATCATTAAGTATAGTTTTTTTCACTAAAAATATATATAAATAATTTTTATTTAAAAAGTGTAGGAAACAATTTAAAATTAAAAAAAAAAAATGAATCAAGTGTTTATTTATTAAAGTATATTTGATTTGCCAACAATAGTTTAAATAAGTTCATATTTCAGTATTATTATAATACTAATGTTCTAACTATACTACAGATTTTGAGCAACCTTTTATGCGTTTTTTTATAACATTATATGTCTTTTCAATAATATAGTACATTCAAGAGGTTTTGTAATCAAGAGCGGACTGAAACTTCGAAGGTCTGTTGGAAAAAATTTTAGGAGGCCCAAATATGAATTAAAATAGCCTTTTTTTGTTCAAAACGTCTAAACAATAGTAAATTTGTATATTTTAGTTTTCTTTAATTAAAAAAAAAACAACGAACTTATTTAACATATTATAATGAGTAACCTATTATTTTATGTTAACAAATTATAACAATTGTCGTATACTACACGGCACGAAAATAAACACACACAAACACACACAGTTTTAAGTAGGACGTTAAAGGTATAAAAAAAAATAATTGATCTATACCTAATAGTAGGTATAACATTTTATTAAATTCAAAATATGTGTTCTCATTTAAAATAACAAAGTTGACACCCTTATCAGGCAATCGGGATGAACTTAAATAGTATTACATAGTTAATAATTCAAGAATTATGTGTAACTATGATAATAAAAAAAAAAAACCCAGCACAGGGGGATCGCGGCACAATTATGCCATGGTATAGTTGGATCAAGTATAATGATATCTGACAGTGATTAAAATCACAATAAAAAAAAAACGCTTCCATGCAAATCTTTAGATAGTGTTTAATTTAAAAAAATTGGTGGATTATTCCAAAAGCTACATGATCTGCTAGTTCATTATTAATATCCTAATTAAGATAAAGTATGTCGAATGAAAAAGGGATTATTAAAAAATATTATTTCTTATAAAAAAATAATGTTGATCCATACACTTTTAAATATGTCATAGCATTATAAAGTTAAAAATNGTTAAGGGTTAAATTTATGAAAAAAATATACCAAATGAAAGGTAATGATATTATGCATCTATATAAAAAAGAATTATATTGATATGTTCATTTTTGAAAAAGTTATGGAACTTTTAAGTAAAAAAAATTGAAAAAATTTCGAAAATTAGCGATTTTTAAATTTGTAATTTTTTTGGAGGTTTCCCCCTTTTACGGGGAACGAGGGAATTTTTTTCAATTTTTGAGGGTAATTTCTTCGATTAGATACAATTTGTGATCTTTTGACGTATCATTGAAAGAAATCGGTTCGGTGAGAGCTGAGAAAAAGTGGTAACAGACACAAAAAAAAAAAAAACACATCTTAGTAAAACCAATACCTTCTCAGCTTCGCATCGAAGCTAAAAAAACATACTGTATTCTCATAGAACAACCTCCGTTGTTCCAAACCAGAGTGTCCTATATCTCGATTTCATTCTTTGTTTTATACTTAAAACTAGGTTGAGTTATTTGGAATATTTACAAATATTTATAGATTAGTCTCGGAAGTTGGTTTTTATTAGTAATAGTCTTAAACTTCTAGTGTTACATTGATAATTCTAGATTCAGAATTTGATTTTTGAGCAATATATTTTAAATTATCATCATTAACTAATTTAATATTATTATCAAATTCTCTTAACGCTGTGGATTAAATGTGAACAAGACTTTAAACATTTTTTAATTGTTTAAAATTAAATCATTAAAATTTCGTAAATTCTATCTTGAGTTTCAATTTTATAATATTCTTCTGGCGAATAGTTTTTTATATTATCCGATATTAGCTTACCTGGCTTTTTTAAAATGTTTGTCCTTTGTTTATTGGAAAATGATTGTTTTATAAACTATGTTTCAAATTTTTAATTTGATCAGAATTGTTTTTTTCTTAAAAACAAAGTGAACTTGTTTCCTTAATTTGCCGATAAATAAAGACTACTTTTAGATATCACAAAATTAAAACTTAATTGTATTGATAGTTGTGATAAAATCTAGTTTTTTAAGTTGCATATAATTTGATACATCAAATGTTTATCTGAGAATTTCAAAATATATAAATGAAGTAAAAATAATTTCAAAAGATATTCATTTTTCTAATAAAAATTAAGCATCTGATAATGTATTTGTGTTAATTGATTCACTTGAACAAAGAAAATATATCGACTCTAGTAAAACAATGTACCAATCACTAGTTTCATCATTTGACCAAGAAAAAAAAAAAGTATTGCAGTAACCTTACTATTCTACCTTATAATTTCTAGCTACTGAATTTTGCTCGATTTTTCTTGTTTAATGATATTTGGACAACATTTTTTTCTTAATTCCAGTTCTCTTATAGGAATCAGAAAAAAACCGCTGTAGTTTTTTGTAATAAATTAAACAAAGCTTGAGCAGTTGAAAAACACAAGGTGACATAAGTTAAAATTAAGTTTAATACGTTGTATGGCAATACATAATATGAGATTCTGGTGCAATAATTTTTAAATAAGCTTGAAGATCGTTACAATTCTGCTCATATTAGCAGAGTTTTCCAATCAAATAAGCTAAAGGAATATTTAATGATTCTAATTTTTCTGTGACATATTTTAATTCTACTAAAGTATTCATTCTCTAATTAATTTTTTCATTTAAAATATATCTTAAATAAATACATAATTTATTCATAACGACTGTATATTAAAAAGAGTCCACCTCTAATGAATACTGTTCCTATATTATTTCTTCGTCAGCATTTTATTTTTTATTAAATTACTAGTAACTGTTAAACTTTAATTAAGGTAGTTTTACACAAAAATGTTACAATCGAACTTCTGCATCGTTTTTCATTTTGTTTTTTTTCAATGAACCATTCAAGAGTGTTTTTAAAATAGTGTCATATACAAGTTTAATAATATACAAAAAATTGTCTTCATTTATATTTGAGGATAGTTTAAATATGCTATAAGTGGATTTATTTATATATGCTCTAAATGCTAAATCTACTTTACTTAATAACAAAGCAATATCTACAATTCTAGTTATAATTTTTCTATTTTTTATTAAGTGCTACCACTTGTGGTGTAGGATGTTTAGAAATTAATTCAGATTGAATATGATTAAAATTATTTGGAGATTTTTCAATGACAGATATTTCACTGAAATATTATTTCATATACATATTTGTAATATTTCATATTTGTATACCTATTGAAGATGAAAGTGAATAATGAAAATTTAACTTTCGGAAATTCTGACACTTTAATATATATCTTAAATTAAAGATAATGTAATATACTTTATCACGGAAAAAAATATGACTTTTAAAAGCTATTTTTGTGTGAAAATTCTCGATTTTATATTTTACATTTTTAACTTTATTATGTTATAACTTTTTGGATTGATCAATACATTTTTTTAAAAGAAATAATATTTACATGCCTCTTTCATTCGACTTACTTTATCTCAATCAGGATAGAAATAAGGAAAGAGCAGATCATGTAGCTTTTGGAATAATCTAACAATTTTTTAAAATTAAACACTATCTAAAGATAAATAAATATATATATATTTCGTGTTATTATTTTTTCTGTAAACCTAAATTAATTGTATTAAACTAATTAATTTTAAGAAATCGAATTATAATTTTATATAATGTGTTGATGAAAATAAATATAAGGTTACAATTATGTAGTTTAATACTTTTAGTTCATGCTTTAAGATAACAAAATTATTAATAATAACTTTTAGTTATTAAAAATACATATTTTTAAAATATTTTATTTGCATAATTATCATATAATTTTTGTACTATTGTCTCATAGAAGGTTGTAAGAGCTATTTAAAATAAAAGTTCAAATTAATATGTAAGTTATATCACATAAGTAAACATTTTTTTGATATTACTTACCGATTATTTGGCTACGCTAGGCTCAAGCACAGCCATTCTAAAGGGTTTAAGTGGTAATTGCAATATGACCACCCTGTCAGTACTCACCTGTTTGTAATATATTTTTTTGCTATTTGGTTATATTGGTTTATTTGTTTGCTATATAATTTTCTTTTGATTAATTAAACTACAGCTGGAAGCTGGAAATAAAGGAAATCAAACGAATTATACTTGCATATAATTTTATTTTAAATAATAATGTTTAATTTCTTTTTTTAGATGTAGATAATTCATCAAATTATATAATTACTGATGAGATGACTGCACTTATGCAAACTGAATCTAATGAGGACACCATTTTGAGTAAGCCTTTATATAGTGTGATTTGTTAAGAATTTAACTAGCATTTTTTAATTAACTTTTATCATAAAAATGAATTTAATTAAAAGCTAATTTTTTTTATAAGTTATTATCTATCTTCACCATTTTTGACTTTCCGTAATTACTCCTACAATCTGTTAAAGGAATTATAAATTAGTTCTGAGACACTCTGTGTACATACAGGGAAGCTCAGCATTCACTTACAACTTAAATAATTTTTAATCTAGTTAATATTTTTTACTGATTTTTTTTAAATAACAATTATACCAGGGCTTATTTTAACAGGTAGTAGAACCTGAATTGGTAGTTGAAAACATAATTTGGGTAGTTGAAAATTCAAAATTGGGTAGTAGATTTTTTTCACCTGTAGGAAACTAGGTGAATTCTAATAATAAAATATTAAAGCCATAAATTTATATAAATAAAAATTGAAAGTTATCAAATTAAAAACGTTTTTTAACTTAAAAGTTTAAGCACATATTTTAATTTTTAACAAATCGTAATGTATTTTTATTATATATTAGAAAAAAGACTGGCAACGGTATGATCGCATTGCGAACGTAAAAGTTTTCTATAGACCTATACGTCGTAAGACGACTTCGTGTGCCCGATGCGCATTGTGGCATTGTGTAGTAGTCGATATAGTACAGTAATATACGATACGATATCGGTAATGTCGTCGTGCCGTCGTTAAAACCCATTTAAAAATAAATAAAACGCACAGTATCGCAAGACACGGTCGTATTGAAACCAAACACTAATTTTATCTGTTTATTTTATCTAATTCGTTATTGACCTTTCTTTATATTGTAGTTTAAGTAATACTGCACTATAGAATGCGCATGTTGACTACTGCGTGATTTTGCTTAGGACATATAGGTCTATGGGCTAGTACTACAGTAAATAAATTCACGTGAATTACTGTATTATATACTTATTTTAATAAAAAGTGAAAAATAATACAAGAAAAGACAGTACTTATCTTATAGTGAAAAGTGGAAAAGTGTAAAAATGAAACGGGCTTCATCTCTTCAAAAATATGTAAAAAAATCTTGCAAAACAACTTCTTTGTATAGTTGGCTGAATCTAAATAAAGCAAGTTGTTCGACCCAGTTAAATTTAGCCACACAAAACTCAGCATCTCCTGAGGAATCTCAATTATCGGAACCAGTTAAAGAAAAAGAAATAATCGAGAAAATTTCAGAAAATGAAAACCCAAGTGAAACCCTCACACAAGAAATTCCAATTTCTAAACCTGAAGCAAATAAACAAAACTCCGATGCTCAGGCATTTGAACATTATCACCGAGATGGTAAGCACNCACTAGAGTAAATAAATTTACGTGAATTACTGTATTATATACTTATTTTAATAAAAAGTGAAAAATAATACAAGAAAAGACAGTACTTATCTTATAGTAAAAAGTGAAAAAGTGTAAAAATGAAACGGGCTTCATCTCTTCAAAAATATGTAAAAAAATCTTGCAAAACAACTTCTTTGTATAGTTGGCTGAATCTAAATAAAGCAAGTTGTTCGACCCAGTTAAATTTAGCCACACAAAATTCAGCATCTCCTGAGGAATCTCAATTATCGNACACAAAACTCAGTATCTCCTGAGGAATCTCAATTATCGGAACCAATTAAAGAAAAAGAAATAATCGAGAAAATTTCGGAAAATAAAAACCCAAGTGAAACCCTCAAACAAGAAATCCCAATTTCTAAACCTGAAGCAAATAAACAAATCTCCGATGCTCAGGCATATGAACATTATCACCGAGATGGTAAGCACTACGTAAAATGTAAATACTGCAACGTGTTTCCAAACATAGTAAAGCTTCATGGAACAATGACTCGATTGCCTGCGATAGTAACAGATGGAGCAGCAGTGAACACTGGTTGTAGAGCAGGGTTGTGGGAGCTCTTTAGGAAAAAGTACAAGATTAACTCAAATCTTCCTTTGATTACCATATGGTGTGCAGCACACAGATAGGATTTGGCTTTCAAATCAAGTAGTAATTGTGTTGGAGAGTTTAAGCTCATTTCTACACTCTTCCAGCTTAAGAACCAAGCATCTCCAACAGGCGGCCGAAAAAAATAAATGCACTCTTTCGTGGTTGCCTCGTTTATTTGAAGTGCGGTGGTTCGAATTTTCGTTTGATTTAATCAATTCAGTTTTGGTTTCTTGGAATGCTTTAGTATTGTTCTTAAAAGATTGTCCTGACAAAGAGGCAAGAGGATACAGACTTTTTTTAATCAATTATGACAATCTACAAATCCTGGCATTTATTGCAGACGTATTGATGGTTTTCAGCAGATATCAGAAAAAACTGCAGTCTGATACAATTACAATTTTAGACATGGACAAAGAGACAGTGAACGTTATATCCAGGCTTAAAATATTAAAAACGGAAGCGTTGCTTGGTGGATGGGTGACAACCTTAAAAGAACAGTTAGAAATTCATAGTGAAAATGAGGTTTTACTAAAAGGAGAAGTCTTAACAAGAAATCGAAAACATCGTTTAAAGGAACATCACAAGTCTGTTTCTCAGAATCGAGACTACTCCGCAATCTGCAATGAAATTGTGGATTCTTTTGTAAATTTTTTGCAGGAAAGATTCGATATTGATGCGGATACTATTAAAATTTTGAAACCATTCACTGAGCTAGAGCCATCCGTTGATATGAAAGCAGTTCATAAATTGATAGGAAACGACTTAGATGTTGCTGAACTTTCAATGGAATATTCGGAGCTTCTCACTCATCAAAATATTGAGCAGTTAAAAAAAATCAGCTTAAAAGAAACTCTTCAGGCTTTAGTGATGACAAATTTTTTTCCCAATGTTTCTGTTATAATGGCCAGAATTGTTGCAGCAAAACCTTATTCCGCTGATGTTAAAAGAGTGATTAGTGTAAACAATTTGATGAAAACCAGCAATAGAAGCAGTCTAAGTATTGAAAGCGAGAATGAATATCTATATATTTATTTTAATCTTCCTCCATTAGCCGAATGGAATCCTCGTCCAGCAATTAATGAGTGGTTTAAGAAAAAAAAGAGAGTTAGAGAAACTGTTACGGCGAAAGAACAAGAGTGGTATAAGGGAATATTTATAAGTGCAAATGATAACCAAAAAGATTCGCAAACCGAAGAAAAAGTTCCTACGAGAATGTTTTAAGTTTTGTTTGTACTGATTTCAATTTTGAGATAACTTATTTTTTTATTATANATTTCAATTTTGAGGTAACTTATTTTTGTATTATATATTTTTCTATTTCCTTTTTTTAAAGTTTTAGGATTTATTGTAATAATAAAACACTAGTCATCATCAAATGTAGCACTTTTTTTTACCCCCACTAACCTACTAAAGTCTTTATGAAATTTTATGCTTTAAAAAACGTTTTTACTAACATAAAAAGCAAAAAAAAATAGCATAGCTCTGTTATCCGAAAAGTACTTCGTTATGTTTGATGTTTATGTTTATGTTGATGCACAGCATAAAAAAAGGACAGTGGGTAGTAGAAAAAAAAAATTACAATAAGGCCTGAGTTATACGTTAGGTCTATAATTATATTTCACAATTTATATTTTTACATTTTATTGAAAATATTAATTTTTTTTAAATTTTAAATAAAATGTAAAAAAATCCAGAATAGCTATTTTGTTGAGTAGATTTTAAGAAAAATTTTGGTAAAAAAATATCTTATTAATATTCAGTAGTAAATAATTTGTATCATTTTAAAGTTTGTAAAAATTTGAATATTCATGCGTTATTTTACGGTATTAAATATTAAAATATGTGTTGAGACAAGGTCAGAGGAAGAGTAAGATAATAAGTTTTATCTCTTTATAGATAAAACATGAAATAGTAAAGAATTTAACTTCCATTTTTTCGTTAAATTATGATTTTTTTATAAAAATATAACCAATTTAAACTTAATTTTTTTTAAGAAATAAAGTAAATATGAATCCTATGTAAAAAAAATTATTTTTAAGAGTAGATTTAAATTAATAATTAATTAATTAATTAATGAGTCCACAATATAGTAATAACTATTTTTAATAATTAGTCAGAATATATAGAGTTAAGGTTTGATTTGGGTTTGATATAAAATGGAAATTCAATAACGGTTCTATTAGAACTTAAAAATCACAATTAATATCACCATTCTTCATATAACAACATGATATCAATAATGTGCTGTGTACTAAAAAAATTTAAATTAAACTCAAAAAAATCCAATTCGACCAATCAGGTGCTTAACATAATAACACATAAAAAATTATTAATGTAATTAAAAAAAATAATAAAAATTGATTGATAAACAAATAAAAAATTATATGGGCTTATTAATAAGTGCAACATATTTCAGGGTTTTTATATTTATATAGTGTTCAGTAAGCAAGTAAATGGGTTTTTATCGTGCTCATTGTTTATAACAATGTTTTCTTACTTACTGATCATTTTGTATATTTAAACCCGACAAAACAAATGCTGAACGAGAAATACTATTTTATATAACACTATTATAGTTATTTCTTAATAATATAACCATTTAGTTATGTTATATACTAATAGATTGACACATATTGCCAATTTACACATTTAAACAATACATAATTGTATAATTGTTTAGTTCTCATAAACAGTTTTAATTAACATTATCATTTTGATTATTTTTATAAAGCATTAGAAGTTCCGTCTAAAAATCCTAAGACGCCAGTATTAATCGACTTTTTAAATCAAGGTAAAATATCATATTCAATTAACAGAGTAAAATATATTAAAAATATGAAAAATCTGTGCTATTTCAAGTTTTCATATAAAAAAAATTTAATAAATATTGTATAATTGTTTAGTCCTCATAAATAATTTAAATTAACATTATTTTGAATATTCATCGTTTTGTAATGATAGTGAGCACTAATGAAGAATCAGTTCCGTCAGAAAACATTAGGACGCCAAAAATAGACATTTTTCAACAAGGTAAAATATTTAATTTTTAATTTATAACATGCTATGTACAAAAAAATTAAATTTAGGCTCAAAAATATGTTTGAACCAAGACCAACCAAGTGCTTAGCACAATATAAATGTTTAAGAGCTTTAGAAAGATGAAGAGGAAGAATAAAAAAGGAAATATTATTAAAAAAAATATATAAGTTTATAGATAAACAAAGAAAAGGTAAATGGGGCTATTAACAAAAATAATCTAAGTGTTTGTATAAGGCAGCTAGACTGTAGGATGGCNCTTGAATAAGGCAGCTAGACTGAAGGATGGCTAGTTTTGCACCTCACTAGAATGCCATTTTACCTTAAGCATGTTTAAATCGCTATTATTGAAGCAGGAATGGGTCATCTGGGGATGACGATTAACCGTACATTCAATAAATAACGAGAATAGACAATTATTTTGATAACCACATATATTAGAAATTCTAGAGAGTATCTTAAATCTAAGAGGTAACGTGAGCTCTGAAATACTAATGGCCGTCGATGCGGCATAAAACAAAATAATTTAACTTGTTATAATTATTTTTAAGATAAATATCATTATAATTATACAAAATAATAATTTTGAATGTGTATATTTTTAATAAAATTGGGTTGGATTATTAATAATTGTTTTTAATTATTGTAAATACTTTTTTAAAGTGTTATTTGTATTATCTGTAATATTTTTATCTAGGATTGAACCCTGATGTGTCACCAGAAGAAATTTTAGAACCAATGGACATTGATAAAAAAAAAAATAATTGTGTATAATTTATTATATTTAAACATAATTAAGAGTGTTGCTAATTTTATTATTTGCTTTAAAAATTGAAAATCCGGTTTGGTTAAAATGAAAATTTAATAACGGTTCATTTCGAATTTAAAAATCAAATTTTATAACATTACTTTTAATATGACGACATGAAATCAATAATGTGCTGTGTACAAAATAATAAAAATTAAACTAAAAAATAAGTTCTAATCCTATCTAATCAATCAAGTGCTTAGGATAATAACTTATAAAACAGACTAATTGCTTTAAAAGGATGAAGAAGTAGTTTGGTTAGAAAAATATTAGAGGAATGTAATATTATTTAAAGTAAATAAATAAACAAAGAAAATTGTAAATAGGGCTATTAATAAGTGAAATATATTTACAAAACACATACTGAACGAGAAATACTATTTTATGTAACAATATTATAGTTATTTCTTAATAATATAACCATTTAGTTGTGTTATAAACTAATAGATCGTCACATATTGTCAGTTTACACAAGTTAAACAATACATTTTGCACGAGTTATAGATGCCAAAATCATTTATTTGTTACATAATATATTATTGATTTCAAGTTTTCATATAAAAAAAATTTAATAAATATTGTATAATTGTTTAGTCCTGATAAATAATTTAAATTAACATTATTTTGAATATTCATCGTTTTGTAATGATAGTGAGCACTAATGAAGAATCAGTTCCGCCAGAAAACATTAGGACGCCAAAAATAGACATTTTTCAACAAGGTAAAATTTTTAATTTTTAATTTATAACATGCTATGTACAAAAAAATTAAATTTAGGCTCAAAAATATGTTTGAACCAAGACCAACCAAGTGCTTAGCACAATATAAATGTTTAAGAGCTTTAGAAAGATGAAGAGGGAGAATAAAAAAGGAAATATTAAAAAAAAATAAATAAATAAAAATGTAGAAATAAATAAAGAAAAAAGTAAATGGGGCTATTAATAAATGCGACCTATTTAAGGGGTTTTATATTTATATAGAATGTTCAGTATGTAAGTAAACTGGTTTTTCATTGATATAAACATTGAGAACAATAGAAAAAACGGTAGCACAGTGAGGTCGCGGTACAGTTTGAGCGTGTTATAGTTATGACTAGTATAGATAATATCTGACAATGATTAAAATCACTATCATAAGAAACGCTTCGATGCAAACCTGTAGATAGTGTTTAATTTTAAGAAATTTGTTCGACTTAAAATAAAAATAAAATGAAAATAAGTTTAATTTTATATTCTATGTCAATTAGTTTTAAATAATATTCATGAAAATCAGTGACTCCATTTTATGGTATATTAAAATACAATACCAAGAATATTAACACAAAAATAGCATATTTTTGAATATTCACTATATCTTGAAATTATTTTTTTCATAGTATAGTAAATTACACAATTTTTAATTTAAGATTAAATAAAAGTGTCAATATTCCCGGAAAATTTTCAAAAATTGAGTTGAAAAAGTTTAACTTGTGTGTAAAAATTGTTATTTTGAATCCATCCTGTGGTCAGGTCAAAAGTCAGATTTTCAAAAAATTTATATCGAATGAAAGAAGTAAACATAAAGTATTTATGAAAAAAATTGTATTGGTACATACATTTTTCAAAAAGTTATTGTAGTTAAAAGTTGAAAAAATAAAATTTGAAATCGTATATTTTAATACTAAAATTGCATGTTTTTTTAACTACGGCAACCATAGAAGAAAAGGTGTTGGAACACATTTTGTTTTCTTAACTTATAGTGCATAACATTATCTTTATTTTATCATATGTTTGAAGCTTGGAGGATTTCCGGTATATTTTAAACTTAAGTTGAAAAAGTTAAATTTTTGTGCTGAATTTGCTATTTTAAATTCCCCCCTGTGGGCAGTTAAAGGGTCAGATTTTCAAATAATTTATGTCAAATGAAAGACAAATATCTAAGGTTACAATATAAAAAAAATTATTTTAAATTATCAATTTTTTAAAAAATGTTGGCAGTTTTAATTATTAAAATATTTTACGTTAAACAGTGATTTTTATATAAAAATTACATTTTTCGTTAAATTCGATAACCCATCTAAGAATTCCATTGAATTCCTATAGAAGAAAATATGTCGGGACAAATTTTTTTTTTCAACTTATAGTATTTATCATAAGCTTTAATTTTACATATATTTTAAGTTCGGGGTATTTTTGGAACATTTTTAAAAGTTAAGTTGAAAAAGTTCTACTTTTAACCCGTATTTTTATAAATTTAAACCCCCTTAAACCCCCCCTGTATATAGGTTAAATGGTCCGATTTGCAAAAAAAGTATGTTAGATATAAGGTATATCTATAAATTGCCTGTGGTAATTCATTAATTTCTTAAAATTAAATACTATCTACAGATTTGCATCGAAGCGTTTCTTATGATAGTGATTTTAATTACTGTCAGATATCATTTATACTAGTCCCAACTAAGCCATGCTCACAATGTGCCGCGACCCCACTGTGCTAGCGTTATTTATACTAAAATTTGCCAACAGCTTAAATATAAAATACATTAATGTAAATTATGCAAAGTAATTTTTTTAGTATTTTTTTTTGATGCTCGAATTTTTAAATTGGCTATGTTGCGTATTTTACGAGGAAGTAAACTCTGCGTTGTATTTACCTCTTCTTGTTCTTCAAATCGGTCGATTTACTTTGATAACATCGCCTTTGATCTGACTATTACTAAATTTTCGACGGTATTAAAATTGTCAATTATTTAATTACACATTCAACATTTCAGTCTCCATCAAGTTATCACATTCTAATTAATCTGTGATTTATTTTGTTGTTGATATTTTATTATTCAGTCCATTGCATAGTTGTACAATTTCATCAACACTTACAATCTTGGTTTCTTCAAATGTCAACGTTATTGGATTACTTAATAGCTTATTCTACCCTTTCTTCAGGTTAGACATTGTAAGATCAGCTCATGCATTAGAAACTTTAAAATGGTATCTTTAATTTTCTTGCTTTTCCAAAATTCTATTACATATGAGATTCGTCAGGTAATAATAAACTTTCGATGAAATATGTTCTTTACTGTCTAATGTGGATTTCACTCCGAAGAGATTCACACACAACCGTGATCGGCGTTAGCACTAGGTGCTTTTTGCCAGGCACGGAGGATCAGTGAGCGAAGAGCGACCTAGGTCGAATCACGGTCAAAGCGTCTTCAAACGGAACATCAGCGCCGGATAACTAGGCCATCCATACCGTTTACCTCTGATTTGCACCAACCTCGGGCACCCTGGTCGGACCACGGCCACTATCTAAGCCACTACGTATTATGGTATACGCAACTGGTATGTGGTGGATGACTCACTGGTCAAATCATTCAGACCGGTCAGTCTTCTCCTGGTCACTGCTAAAGTGATTGAACATCTTATGATCACAAAATTAAACACAGAAACAGAGACCAATTTACGCCTTAGCCAGCATGGGTTCACGACTAGCAGATCTACAGAGACGGCTATAAACTAAATGATATTAACTGGGTTAATAGCAGATCGGAAAAATATGTTATGGGTGCATTTTTGGACATAACCGGCGCCTGGATAACGTGGCCTGGAATCCTTTACTCCAAGACATAGAAACTCTAGGTGCCTTTAAAAAGTCTATTAGCTTAGCAAAATGTTACCTTAATAACAGAACAGTAACACTAACGGAAGGGACTGCGACTTCAACAGTGTTGTTAAGCAAGGGATGCCCCCAAGGATCTAACTACGGTCCTTATATGTGGAAAATAGTGGCGAACGCCATATTGATGGAAAATCGGCAAGAATAAACGGAAAGGATTCTGTATGCTGATGATGTTGCGATACTTGCGGTGGAAAACTACAAAAGAGAACTAATAGCAAGAATTGAGGAATTACTCGAACTACTTCCAATATGGGCAAGCAGATTCGGCCTCGCCTTCTTATGACAAAAGTGTAAAGCTATGATGCTGAAGGGTAAACTATGGAAGGGTTTCACTATTGGAATGGGAGATACAAGAATTGTAACTGTGAATCATAAAATATTTGGGTCTGCACATAGGGGAAGGGATAAAATTCAATCCCTATGTCTGTCAACTGGTGAATACTGCTGATGACCTGTACAGCAGAATGAAGGTGGCGTCTAGAGTCGGTTGGGGATGCGTCCAAAAAAATGCTGAAATAATCTATAAAGCAGTCTTCTTACCAAAGATATTATATGGAGTGAGAATCTGGGCTTTTTATATAAGAGAATATAAAACAAGAATGAAGCTTGAATCAACACAGAGAAGAGCCCTTTTGGCAATAAAGAAGGCCTATAGAACAACATTGACTTTATCTCTACAGCTTCTTGCTGGTCAAATCCCTCTTGACATGTTTGCTAAACTAGAGCAAAGAAGGAAAATAGTACCTGATGAATATGAGTCATACAAGGAAGAGATAATTGATGAATGGCAACACAGAGTTAACACATCAGGAGAGGTGTTGATGAAATATGTTCTGTATCCATGCTTATATTTTTAACTATTCCTTAGTCCATTGGCTGTATAAGGTTGTATTTGCTGGTACAAATAGAAATTTTATCTTGCCGTCGTTACTTATCAATTTATTAGAGGGGTATATTGGGTCATTATCCATACACAGCTCCAAAAAAAGAATTGAATTAAAAGTGCTAGTAAACAGCCTATGTTTACTTTATGTTTTTGGGATCGCTAAATCCGAATCTGTGGTTAATTTGTCGTCATCACGTCAGGGTTTTTTATAACCTCAAAAAATGTGCTTAAAAACCTACCTATTTATTAGGAAGTATTATTAGGTTTTCCAATTATCAGTAAAGGTAATCTATGACTATCATTTGCATTTGCTCAGAGCAATACAGTAGTACGAGGTATGTCAAAAAAGTTCCCGGACGACGTTTCGTGTGCGCTGTGTAGTAGCACTGCGTCGGAAACAACTATGCAGTCTCGTTCCTACAGCTATCTTGTATCAGTATACAAAATTTCAAGTCGATCGGTCGCGTTTAACTGTATTTAAAAAAATAATTATAATAAGTTGTTTGTGCCTTGTGCCGATTTTTTGAAAAATGGAAATCGATAAAAAATTAGAGCAAAGAATCGTGATCAAATGTCTCGTGAAATTGGGCAAAACAAACGCCGAAATTAAAAATATGTTGTCAGCTGTATATGGTAAAGATACGATAAGCCGCACAACGCTGTACGAGTGGATTAGTCGGTTCAGAGAGGGGCGAGAGGCAGTGACTGACAACGCTCGCGAAGGCAGACCACAAACAGCGCGCTCGACCGAAATGGTTGCAAAAGTGAAGACTAAAATCGATGAAGACCACCGAAAAACGCTGAGAGAAATCGCTAGCATTGTTGGAACATCGCACGAGAGTGTGCGTTCAATTTTACGGGAGGATTTGAATTTGTGAAAGGTGTCTCCACACATGGTTCCGCGAGTGTTGACGGACGATCAAAAACGAAACCGCGTTGAAATCTGCAGGGACTGGCTGGAAGCTGAGGAGAGCGACAACATTTTGTCTCGAGTAATCACAGGTGACGAGAGTTGGATTTTTGAGTATGACCTCGTCAAAAAACGGGCTGACATGGTGTGGCTAACACCTGATGAACCAAGAGTAAAAAAAAGCGCGCAAAAGCAAATCAGAAGTGAAGGTGATGGCCACTGTTTTTTTCGACTGCCGCGGCGTGGTACTCCTGGAATGGACTCCAAAGGGTCACACAATCACTGGACAAGCCTACCTTGAGACTATGCAACGTTTAAGGGAGCGCATAAGGAAGAAGAGGCCAGAATTGTGGAAAGACAACTCTTGGGTTCTCCATCAAGACAATGCGCCAGCACACCGGTCCTTCATTGTGCAAGATTTTTTGCCCAAAAACCAAACGACAGTGCTACCACATCCGCCCTATTCACCGGACCTTGCACCCTGTGACTTTTTTTTGTTTGATAAACTGAAAGATTTGATGAGGGGAACACATTTGGGGGGTTTGGAAGAGATCAAACAAGAATCGGCACGGCTACTGTACAGCATGCCACAAAATGACTGGCAAAAATGTTTCGATAACTGGAAAAAAAGAATGCACCAGTGCATTAGTGCCAGGGGGGAATACTTTGAAGGGGATAAAGTTATTGTAACTT